TGAGGAGCGCCTTCAGCGCCAGTTTCCACCAAAACACCATTCTATCTCCCACCCAGCTGTTCTTGTAGACGGGGCACAAAAGGTCATCGCTTACTATCTTCCAGGAGCACTGCTGAATACACGCATTGTATGTCTGCAGTGCATGGCGTCCATTTTTGCAACAGATAGACAGCTGATTGTGCGTTACAGGCCATTATTTCTGGACGCATGCAAACACTGCAGCCGTCATTAGAAGCGAACTGGCAGCGGGGCTCACGTGCATCGGAAGGCGTCTGGAGAAATGAAGCAATTCATTTCCTACCAGCAGAGTTTTGCCCTACGTTTGGGCGAGGGAATGTCACTGCCTCACCTGCTTGGCATTCGCAAGCCCGGAATGTATGTTCAGAATGCGCGAGGGCAGACTTCGGCTGATATCACGCAACAGCACTTTGACGAGTCTTTACATGTCTCTGCACACCTTGGTCCATCGCCAGGCAAGCGCGCCAATAATGGTCAACGGGCCTTTCAGCAGTTTATTCGCGATCACATTGAGACTGGCTGTCTGATGTCGGTTTCACTTGCTCTCACGCATCCTGAGCAGTACGCCCTCACTCGTGCGGGCCTGGAGAAGCTGACGGGAATGGAACCATTCTGCCACTATGTTCGTGACTGGGCATTTGGCTTCAATGTCTTGACGATTGTTTGTAACCGTCAATCGCTTCTTCATCGCGACAAGCAGAGTGGCGGTCCTGAGTGGTTTGACGAGCTGCTTAGCATAGGTGGCGATGACAATACGGTCCTAGAGCTCCCTGGCGTGGGGTTTCGCTTGCGCTATAGCTCTGGAACAATGGTGCTGTTCTCTGGCTTCACTCACCTGCATGGTGTCAGTGCGGCTGCCAGTGAGCGGGCGTGCTTTGCGGCCTATGCACGTCCATCGGTTTTGAGGAAACTTCTTTTACACACACCAGAACAACCGAGCGTCTCATCCAGTTTGAATCACATGGCATGGCTACAGTACATACACACAGTACTTGATTGGGCCCACAGATAACGTTGGTTACAATTTCTACTCCGTGCTAGCGAGCTGCGCTCACAATAATGTTAAAACACTTGGTGCTTCTGTAGAGTCTGTTGATCGAACTTGTGTGCCCAGCCCAGCCTCCTCTGTCGACACCTGCATTGGCGACTCACGCGCCCGGGTGTGCACCGAGACCCGGCGGGTTTGAGCGGTACCCGGCGGGTTTTCAACAGCCCGGGCATCCGATACCCGGCGGGCATCCGGCGGGGACGGAGGCACAGTCCCATCCTGACGAAGTAAACGAAGCTCCTCTTGTAGCGCAAGCGGTATGGCAGCTGACGGATGCTCCCGAAGAAAGATTGCAACGAGCTCGAGTTCACGATGATGAACTTCGGTACGCAACAACGCACGATATTCATCTTCGCTGTCTCCGATGGCATTGATCCCTGCGATGAGGGCTTGCAACTCGTCTATCAATGCGGGAGAGCGCGTCATGCTCATTTTATCCCAGCGCTATGTCAATCAGTTGCTGCGTATCAAAGCGGCTGTGGTAACTTACTTTCAATCGCATGTAAAGCTCAGCAGCAACATGGGCATCCAGACTGAGACTGGGCTGCGCCAAACCTTCATCTGGGTTGTGGTACCATTCAATTGCGTCCTCTGGTCTTGAGACGGGCGCCATGGCGAGGTGAATGCGAAAGAATGCAAAGATCCGCCACAAGGCGGTTGAAACCGTCATCACCTCGCCACTGCCATCCAACAAGTAACCTCGCCGGTCGAATGCCATCTCACGAACTAGTCTTACACCGCCATCACCCGGGTTTGAGAAGGCTTGGTACAACGACTGGATCTCATTGCATGGCATGACACCCTCAATGGCAAGATACCCACTCAGTTGACACATCTGGGCCTGTGTGGCTGTCAGTATGAAGATCAATTGAAGACTACAATACGCACCCGCTCCAGACGCATGCCATCTACCAGCTGTGATGCAAGGCGCGACTGGGAATCGGACTCAAAGATCGAAAATTCGATTTGGGGCCTAAGCTCTAGAACAATCGAGTTGATGCGCGTAGCTATGAACTTCCACTCCCCCTCGCGAAGAATAGACTGATTAAAGGGTGATGCAAAGTTGGCCATGGCGATGGTGGTTGCTGACGGGAAGGGGGAACGCTTGATGATCCGTGATTATCAATGTAATCAAATCCGACACATGATCAAGTCCCAGAGTGGTCTAGAGCCTTACAGCCGGCCTTGTTTCCCAACCGCCATGTCTGGATACATACATCAGTCGTTCTGGGACTCTATGCAAGCGCGATTTGCGGTTGCCCTTCTACACTTTCAACCTCTAAGAGAGCATCATTATATAACATGTGCCTTTAAGTCAGAACTGGTGTGTAGCGACATCCAAGCATAATTATAGTCCCTCATTGCTAGGCTCTCTGTTAATCATTGATCTTCGTTGCAATTGCAACAGCTGGTGAATCAAAGTCTTCGAGCCTGAAGATGATTCTGCACACCATATATGGGGCCTCTTTTTTGGATCACTGTAACCTTTATATGTAGCTTAAAGATATAGTCTGTACTAGTACTGATGACCCGACAGTTCGGTGCCCTTTGCCATCATTGCCTCCGTGCATCGCGGGACCGCTCCCGGGCGGCATTCCTTCGGCCCTTGCCGTGCCACGTGTGACGTGCTTCCTCGCTCCGCGCAGCACTTCGCGCGCACCGGCCGCGGGTTGGTGCTCGCCGCCCCGCACCTTCTGCTCACTGCTCACCCGCCCTCCGCAGCTCCCATATCCGGCGGGGGAAACCCCGTAGCACAGTGTACGTGAACTACCAGACCTACATGCACCTTATTAATCGCAGCACGGCTAGGGCGGCGCGGTGCGGCGCGGGGGCGGGGGCGGGGGCGCCGCCGCCGCCACCCTCCGCAGCATTCAGTATATCCGGCCAAAATGCGGCATATGTATCTCACTCTGGTAGAGGGTCAACTCCATATTGATCCCGTC